CATGACTCCATGACATTTCGAACATGCTGGTATTGAACCAGGCACTCTCCCGCACTCGACTTCCTGGCAATCATAAGTATCGCATGCATGTCTCGGAATCCTCCCGACGTTGCAGCAGTAGACAGAGTCAACCCGATGAATGCTGCTTCAAGCATGGCAGAAGAAGAAAAGGATACATTGAATTATCTGAAGGATGGGTTGGAGAGAAGGGTTGCCCACAGCCGCATAGACCAGAGCAGTGAAAAACAAACACCAAAGAAGAATCTTTTTTTTCATTTCGAAACAAACAAAAAGTGCAGCACAGCATTAGCAAGAGAAGAAGAATAACAAAAAAAAAAAGAATAAAAACCGTCCTTTTCTTTTCATGTTCTCCCTTACTCAGCAGTCACACCAACCTCAACAGTCTGCTGCTGCTGCTGCTGCTGTTGTTGCTGTTGCTGATAACGTCTTCTCCCAGCTCTATGCTCTCCCCCAGCAGCATTATTAGAACCAGCACCAGCACTAGCATTCTGCGAAGCAACCACATCATGCAGATATTTCTCCTTTTCCGACCGAATAACCCCAAGAACATTCTCCAAGCTCCTTCTCCAGACCATCAAACGTCCCTGAACCTCAGCCCACTGCTTCTCACCAAACACACGGTAAGTAGCCCTCTGAACAAGGAACTCCCCCTTCAACTGAGAGAGCTTACCCTCAACAAGTCCCGCACGAATGGTATCAATAACCCATTTCTCCACGTCAGAACGAGGCACTCTCAACGCGGAAGCGATGGAATCATACGGCAAGGAGCGCGACGGGGTAGATGCTGCAAGCGAAGCGAGTGTGAGCAATTTGATTTTCGTCTGCAGGACATCCGCATAATTGGCGAGATTATGAATGGTAGAGAGCTGGGTAGTAGCGAGGAACTCCTCGTAGGTATCGAGGGTATCAGCGGCGAAAATTTCGAGAAGTTCAAAAAGCGAAGCGTCTGTAGATCGAAGGGATTGAATCGCGTCGCTGTCAGATAACGGGACAAAGTCGAAGACGCATGGTAGCGTTAGAGCGGAGATTAGCGCTCGTTGAGCAATTTCACGACTCTCGGCGGTTGATGCCTCGGTTGGAGGGATGGCTTGAAGAGCAAGAAGTACGTGCGAGTAAGATAATTCGATATCACCGGCATCCTTGGCGGCATCGGCGATGGCGAGATGGAGTTTTTGAATATTCTGTGGACTCAAATCCCACTCTTTAATCCATGTGGGCAACTGGGTCTTGATCTGAGCCTTTAGACCATCGAATGCTAAACCGGCTTGTGTCTGGCGAATGACGGCCAGAACAGCGAGGAAAACTGGATACCTCCCGGAATCTGTCCTGGAGAGTGTATTGAAGATGGTCGAGAGGATGCTGAGGGCGAGAGCAGAACCGTGTAAAGGAGCTGCAGTCATGGGCTGAGCGAGATAGGCACAAATCTGAGAGACATAGGTGTGCTTATTAGGAGAAGTTGTGACCAGAGCAATTAGAAGGTTGTAAGCAGCAGTGAGCTCTAAATGGATGAAAAGTAGACTTTGAGTTAGCATTCATTCAATTCAAGAGGATGAAGCATGAACAACCATGATTCTCCCCCTTAACTCTTCTTCCCCCTTCGCATAACACAGACACACACCTTTCTCAGGAGCACTATTCAAGACAGACGATGCCTCAACAATCTTCTTCAGCACAGCATCCTTCTGCGCAATGACATCCGCACTCTCCTCCTCAACAGCACCACCAGCAGTAGCAGCGGCAGCGGCAGCGGCAGCAGCAGCAGTGACGGCGACTTGTTCCTGCTCCCTTAGCTTTTCAATAGCGGGAGTCAGCTCTGCACGCAAGGATCCAGCCTCTGGTGTCTTTCTCAGGACATCTATATACTGCGTGAATTCGTCGGCCAAATCGGAAAATGCACCCTCAACGAGGAGAGTTCTGGGATGAGAAGACATGTTTGAAATTCTTTGAAAACGGTAAGAGAAGGCAGGCCTGTCTAACTCTAATCTCTTCTCTTCTCTTCTCTTCCCTGCTTTAGACGTCAAATGCGCGAGATGTTCGTATAAGCTATTATCTTCTTAGTTGTCTTCTTCCTTTTTTTTCCCCCCTTGGGTATGGAATTTGCCCTTGGGGAATTTTTTTGCGGTCTTCCCGCCGTTTGGTTGGTTTTGGGCAAGCCTGTGGCCAAATTTCTCCTGTGCGGAGGCAAAAATGTCTTGGCGGACGAGAGGGATTGCCTTCGAAGCACAGCGCAGAACTGCAGAACTGCAGAAAGAGTCAGAAACAAGAGTACTACTACCGGCAATGATGGCTTCAAACGAGCAGATAATTGAGATTAGCTAAAAGCTATGGAGAAGGAGGAATCCTGGTATAATAAGAAGATCTCGTTCGTGATTGTCTATCGATAATGAGCATTTTCAGCGACCAACTATCACAGGGACGTATCTGTAATTGTATTACACGTGCTGACCCTTATTTCAGCCTTGCAAGACCGGTGGTTGTATTGTAATATTCGTAATTGCATAACAGCGTGTTCCGATGAATGAGTACTTCTGCTTCTAAACAGATTGCCTGCAGAGGTCGACCTGAAAGATACCTCTAACCATGCGATGTAAGTAAGAGGAACTTGTCAAGCAGTATATATATACTTTTACTCCTTGAATCTGAGCGCAGCAAAAGCAAAAGAAGATGAAATGAAAAGGAAAAAAAAAAAGAAAGGATCATTATGCGGCTTGCCTGGATCGAACAGGCGACCTTTAGATTTGCAGGCTGAAGTTGACTTCAGTCTAACGCTCTCCCAACTGAGCTAAAGCCGCTACCACGAGATTCTTGTGGCAAGCATCCTCCTGTGTCGCATTCCGTATACCGATGCACAGCGTCTAGTAAGTGTCAAAGGTTACGCTGGACTCTTTTTAGTCTGTGTGTCTGCGACGCGACAAGTCTACTGGAGTCCGTAGTGTTCTACGTTACGGATAGTGTAGTGCTGACAAGACCTCCATAGTGATGCTGAACTGTTCACCACATATAATAGATACTGGCTGCAGATTCGCTCTCACCTACTCAATGACTTGCAGAGGTATATTGCGTTGCGTAGCAGGCGTACTTTCCTTTCTCAGGAGATGGGAAGGAAGAATCAAAAGGAATAACAGAATGAAAAGCTGTCAATCAGTAGGAAACAAAGCAAAATCGGTAGAGACAACCACTCGGATGAGAAGCATTGCAGAGCATTGCTGAATGAAAGGAAAAAATAAAAGGTCGTGCTGGGACTCGAACCCAGGTTATTGGAAGTTTTGACTTTTTAATCAAAATCCAAAGTGATAACCACTACACTACACAACCTGTAGTCTGTTAAAATATTCCTCGTAAAACAGATATCGCACGTGCAGGACAATACACGTAGATGGGAAAAGTTCGTCCGTCAGCGGCGTCTTAACTCGAGAATACAGTAATCCAATGGTGAGGTGTAGAAAGCGCATAAAGTTTGAAAATACTTGAACCGTGCTAGATACTAACTCAATTACTGATTCCTATCTCGATCGTTTAGACATGCAGAAACGCAACTCGACTACTTTCGGTCAGAGTCAGATTACCAGTCCTCCGGCGACTTCATGCCCAGCCTTGCTCCATTTCCTAGAGTTAGGACAAATCGGTTGAACTTTCCACTTTTAGATGACTGATTCATATGGGCGGGTAATCTGATAATTGCTTATGCAGATCGTCAGCACTGCAACGCGCTCATCGACCTTGCAGTCCAACCTGGTTGAGCGTGGTCTGAATGGCGCAAAAAAAACTAGATCAGTGTCTCATTGATTCACGATCATACGTCCGAGTAAAACTTGCGAT